CCGTACTACGATCACATAAACCAATTCTTCTTACCGAAACTCTGAAACGTTGAAATTATAAAAGAAAAAAGTGTCAAGAGTACTTACTGTCGTATTTTCAAAGGAAAATGTATATTGTTTTCAATCAATCTTTGCAGTCAAACTTGTGTTTTTTCTTCTTCTACCAACCTTCTTTCTTGCTCTTTTTGTCTCAGCCTGCAAAAATCTCCATTGTTAAATCACTCTTCCAAAGAAAAACCTTTTAAGCTTTAAGCAAATGAGAAACTTTGAACAAAAGAAGAAGAGTGACAAACTCAAGACTTGAAGAAGGAAGCTATACTGACCATTTATTTTCAATATGAGGTCGTCCTGATTTGAAAGATACAACAGGTTCACCAGCAACGCAAGCCTTCTCGAACCTTCGCTTGCACAGGCCTTTAWAYAYWAYYGAAAAAATGAAGCATAAGTGCTACATTTAACAAACGCTTATGAGACATCTAAAGAACTATGTAATTCTGCAGGCCTCAAAGAATGAGAGAAGCTCTGTTCTGGAAGGTTCATAAAGGATTATTTCCTTTCCTTTTCGTTTCTCTTAATTGGTTAGGGGTTGTTTGGCAGTAATTTGGTGGAAGATCCAGTCATTTGGAAGAACTCTAATGATATGAGGCTGAAGTGGATTTTGTCTAAATCCTAAATTCATATCACAATCTAAAAATATAAACCCAATTTTCACACTGTTCAAGAGAAACCAAACCTTCAGAGGTATACAAAATGCCTGAATTCACTTCAAAATCCAAATCATAAACCCTGAGTTTGTCTAAATTCATAATCAACGGTCAATTTCAGTCCCAAATTCATATCGAAATTCAAAACGCGTCATTGAGATCAACTTCAGAAAACGCGAAATTCTCTCCCAATTTAGCGTCAAGTGATTCAATTCATCTAGTAGGCATGGAGGCGATTAGTAAGGTACTTTTGGGAGAAGCTAAAAAGCAAGGATAAAGATGCGCTAATACACTCACTTTAGAACATATCTTGTTTTGTCGTTACTGCTTCTTTGGTTCTGATTTGGTCAGCTTCTTGTTCATCATCATGTGACTTGATGATTCTCGATTTGGAAGAAAGGAGATTTGGTTAGACGCATATCTCAAAACAACCATGAATTGAAGAAGAAAGGATATATCTCTTACCAATGATCCGCTGGAAAGTAAAAATCGTGTTTATAACAATTTGGACAATCGAAATCTGAAGAACAATAAAGAAAGGCGAGGAATTTGGCAAGCGTAGAGCCATTAGTACTCAAGTTTCTATATATACATGATCGTGTGTGGCTGTGAAAATGAATCGTATCAATGGATCGTGGTATGAGTTTGGAGATTGTGCAACGGTGAGAAGAAAGGAAGAAGAAAGAGTTATGTCTTTGGGCTGGGCTGAATTCTTATTTGATAATCCAAATAGCCCAACGAAAATCAGAAAAAAGTAGGTGACATGTCAAAATGAGTGGCTGAAAATATTCATAATATTTTAGCTTATGTGGCATGTCTTAGAGAGCGAGATTTAGCATTTTTGTTGAAGAAGTCAATCACGTTGAGTAGGCGTATGTTCTCTATAGGAAATAAATTAAGAAACACTATTTCATTTCTTTAGTCATATACAATAGTGCTCTTTCAGAAATTCTAACAGTTATAAAGTGTTAGACGCTAATCACTAATCAGACATCTTAAAAAGAAAAAGAAAGACATAATGCATATACCAATTAATCGATAATTAAGATGTTTTTTTTTAATCGATAGTTAAGATGTTTTTTACCAAGATATTTGATCAATTTAGCAAAAAAAAAAAAGGAAATTGCAATCAATAACCACCAAAAAATCTATAACAAAAAATATAACTAGTCAACATAAATCTAAAGGTTGACATCAAATCACGTATGCTAA